GATGTAACTTTCCCAAAATAACCCGTATCAACATGAAAATTGGACAATAGTTTACTGAATACTTTCTAAATCTGAAATTATAAAAATTGTTCGACGCGGTTGCCTTTGTTCCTCACAACATCGATGAGTCTCTTCGGGAACGCATCTACCGTGGCAAGGGGGTATTTTGGAGATAAATTGACCCAGTCTGAGATCAAACTTGATTTCAATGGCTACAAATTTGGTTCTGGACGTGCTTGGACCCTCGACTGAAATATTCCATATGCGGAATAGTCCAACAGATTCATTTCTGGCGACGAGGGTGACCATTCGCAAGTCATACTGAACATTGAAAAACTGGCCGTGCATCATGGCTAAATGATTTTTGTCTTGTCAGCGGGAGCAGAATCCCGTTGAATAGTCCAAACATGGTTTTAAAAATTGAATTTGGCCCACCGAAGAACATAACCCTTGAAAATTTCTGCATATTAGTCCTTTCTGTTGATTTTCACCCCAAAATCTACAAAAATTAGAATTTGGAGGTTGTTGCACCAAAAACCATGACGTTCTGATGATATGAAACTTTTTTCATGTTACTATGCTCATTAGATAGCTCAGATCTCGGGGAAGAAACTAGATAATTTTTCAATGAGAATTCGACTTCCACCGTCAAGAGTTTCTCGTTGACAAACATCATATTCATGTGTTCATTTTGGCACGTGCCAGCAAATGTCGATTTGCACTTCTGGCCGCGTACCAGATTGTTGTTTCCCGACAGAATTCCAGTCTTTTGAGCACGATATGGGGTCAGTCCAATCTCACTTTTAGCGGTTCTACTGAGTGGCTGACAGCTCATTCGGAGCTCCAGGCTCATTTTTTCTTTCTTCGGTGCGGATTTTGACAAACTCGTTTTTGGACGGTCTTGCATTTCTTCAGAATGATCAAAGTTTGAGATCTTATGTTTTTTAGACAGTTCTTGACCGTATTTAACTAATCAAACCATGCCATGGTTATCCACAGGGTTGTTCGTGAGA